AGAGAGAGAGAGAGAGAGAGAGAGAGAGAGAGACAGACAGAGAGAGAGACAGAGAGAGAGAGTGGATGTGTGCGGGATGGTGTCTTTTCTCGCATCTTCAGTATAATTTTGAAGTTGGGCGCGAGCCATTATTTTGTTCTCGGCCATTTCGGATTTTCTTCTTCTCGGCAATTTTATGCATGATCTGATCTATTCCCCCTCGCTTTCTACCTTTTGGTTTGATCAGGCGCTTGTGATGATCTTTGCGAAGTTCTTCAGCTTCATTAGGATCCATGTCGTTCTCTTGTGAATGGATGGGTTTAATGTATGAGTACTTGACGATTTCTCATTATTTTCGAGTCGTATGGATAAGTCCGCTGGGAATTCGCCGGTCCACCAAATTCGCATCTGGCCTTAACGACGACGAAACCCGCAGAGACAGTAACTCTATTTTCTACGGCGTAAAAGCCAGACGTAACCCGCGCCTTCCATTTTGCACAATTGCCCCTAAAACTTACCACAGGAGATCTCAGTTCCGACTTGGGACTCCACCCCCCCCAATTTCCTAAAATCCTTGCCACACCCCCTTTTTCGCACTTCCGAGCCCCCATCCCACTCCGATCAGGAAGTCACGCTGGGCGTGAGGTTGGGCATACCAGAGCAGCCTCTTGGACGGGCCAGCACTATATAGGACTGGCCCGCCCTGCAAGCTGCAGGTAGTTCATGGGAACTTCCCAGGCACTTCACGTGCAGTTGAGGAGGCAGGCAGTAGTCTTCAGCATTCGGCAACAGCACTCTAGAGGAGCGTTGCAGGAGTAGTAGTACCGTTAGCAGTAGTCTTCAGCGTTGGGCGCTAGTAGGGGCTAGAGAAGTGTTGGAGAGAGAGATGGTTGGCGGAGGCCAGGGAGACTTACATGTGGTGCCGTAGCTCCAACTTCATCTTTGAGGTACCTGCAACAAGGTGCCACCTTCAGAGGTTAGTACAGGGCTAAGAAAGAGAGAGAGAGAGAGTTCTTCTTCTTTCTCTTCTAAGTCGACCATCTGTTCTTCACCCTCTCGCTACCTGACTTCTTAGTGTCTGCGGACTACGAGAGAGAGAGAGAGAGAGAGATTTGTGACTTGGGGACTTGACGACAATTGGATTCAGACTCGACATTGGGATTCAGACATTTGACGAGGGATTATTTGGGACTTGTACCGAAGACTTGGTGTTGGCAACATTCCCATCTCCCCTCTTCTTGTGATGCCCAAGCGGCCCAACCTCACGCCCAGCGCGACTTCTTGATCAGAATGGGATGGGGGCCCGGAAGTGCGAAAAAAGGGTGTGCCAAGGATTTTAGGATAGTGGGGGGGGGGGGTGGAGTTCCAGGTCGTAACTGGAATCTCCTGTGGCGAGTCTCAGGGATAGTCGTGCAAGATGGTAAGCGCGGGCCGTGTCCGGCTTTTATGCCTGGTGGGATGTCATCACCATTCTCGCGAGTTTCGTTGTTGTGGGTAGTCTCCAATTTGGTGAACCGGCGGAACGCTATGGGTGTCGTGTTGTCTAATTAATCGCTGGCGCCGCTCGTAACAGGCCTCAGAGTCTAACGAAGCGGGCCTCAGAGGCAGGCTGAGCGCTTGTTGCTCAGCCTCCGGCCGGATTCGTCAAACGAACCCTGCGACTCGGTACACGCTGTCTTGCGGGCACTTAGAGCACACTATTCGAGGCCAGTAGGGGGCAATTGCGTGCCACGGGGCCGCAGTGAGGTAGTGAAAAGGCAACACGAGGTGGTATGGGGGGAAGGCCGTCTCAATGATGACGGCACCAGGTTCGGCGATGACGTGGCCCGCGTGTGAAATGGGGAATAGGGAGGGATAAGGGATCGTGCTCAAGGCCCGCTCAATCTCCCATTCACATATTGTTTCTGTTCCGGTTTGAAAGGGAAATTTTGGAGGGTTGGGCTTGGGTTGCGCGAGGAGATAGGCGTTTTTCCACTCCCAGTATTCTCGAAATCGTCGGTGTCTAAGGCTTTCCCGATCTGTGGCGTCAAAGGGAGCCCTATCATCCATGTTGTCGGAAATTTGCGGGTTTAGACATGGGTTCGAACGCGGGTCTTGCAGACACGCGTGTAGTCAGCGCCCTTTTCGATCGCGTCTACACGTGCGTGCATAAGATCAAGCCCGGACTCAGTCAAATCGGCTGGTTGTTCTTTGGTTGGTCGACCAGCTATTTGTCGACATACTAGCTTGATACGTGGCACTTACGCATTGGAGAGTGTGTGTCCAAAGGGAGACAAAGGAAAGCCAATCAGCGGTCAATCTAATAGTTGTACACAAAAGAGTTACCAAAAGGATTGTCAGGCGGTCTATCAATCAGTGCGGCGAATCCAATCAGTCACTTAGGCACGCGTGCTCTTGTTTATTCATGTTTGAGCTTCCTACGCGTCCGTGTGATTCGACGGAGATTGCGTCAGCAATCGGGTGATTGGTCCGCCCAATAGCTTAATTCCGCATTCTTCCTAGGCCTGATACCCATGCAATGATCGACATTCGAAGATCATGCGAATTCCCAGGGAAACCGAAATGAGAAATCGACAGAGATTCGTGCATCAATCCACCTAACCGAATGTGATCGCATCATTAGTACCCGAACTCGACAATTCGCTGAAAAACAGGGACAAAGAGGAAAAATTATATTTGGACAAAAAGATGGTTGATGCCACATGCCAAAATTACAGAGATGAGGGAAAAACATACACCATCCGAAGGCTTGCAGACCAGCAACATGCACGACGAGTGTATCCAACCCGATCTGGGGTTGTTGCGCAACGCAGAGTAGCTACTAGAAAGTGACGAAGTTTGAATTAAGCTAGCATTCAAAGATTACTCAAGAAGGGGTGAGAGAAGACCGCAAGTCATTCCACCACATACAAGGAACAGAAAATCCAAGACAACTCACACGGAAATCCGAAATTGCCGCAACAAAATTGGCCGATGTTGGAATAAAAAATTATACAAAAGGTTGGAAGAAGGAGACCATCCCACACACATTCGTTTTCTCTCTCTCTCTCTCTCTCTCTCTCTCTCTCTCTCTCTCTCTCTCTCTCTCTCTCTCTCTCTCTCCACACCATTCCCGATGCGGGCAGTTTGTCGCCTCGCATCAACACAGAGTTGTCACACCGCTTAGTCCGAACACGCAAGCCAGGTTCACCTGTGCGCCACAGTCCGTCGCGGCCCGCAACGGGCCGCACGTCAACCCCGCATACTCAGCACCAGCTCATCGGATCGCCCAACTCTCTCGTCTACTCACCTCTCAAGCTGACTCGTTAGCCGACCCTCACTGATCGCGCTAACCTCAAAGTTCATAGAGAGCAAACGAATCGCGCTTGCGAAATTTATAACATGCATACTAGCGCGAGAGATACGGGATTATGCCTAAGTGAAAGGAAGGAATAGAAAGGGAGTGCCTACGTCTACATGGCCAGGCCGCGGCGTGGGGGACCGTAGCCACATTCCACACATCGATCCGGTCATGCAGTCGATCGGGCCAATTAGAACAGAGAACGAAGCGAACACGTCAAAGAGAAGGAAAGCGGGGAAGCATGCGAATCAAGAAGAAGAGAAATACAGTTACAATCACGCCCGCCAAAATTATAGTTACACACAAGATTAAGGGCGTGGTCTAGTCAGAGCCCAGTTTCCAGCACGACAAGATGTGCGCAAGCAAGAAGCGCGGCGCAAGAGAATTCAGAGTACCTAAATTCCTTGTCTAAATCCTGATTGCAAAAAGAAATTCCGAAAGGACACAAAAAGAATTCCAAGAATCGTGGGGGGCTCGACATCAGTAGAAAATTTGAAAAACAACATTCCCGCACGTGAATCGCGCCAAAATTCCCATTTCCGGCACCAGAACAAGGAGGAAGCTATGGCAACTGTTATTCATCTCGCTCGCTAAGGCACGGTCACCCAATCGTCTGCGCGGGACTTTCCCGGCCCTGGTCCCGAAAGCCAAAAAGAAAGAAGCGAGGGTATTCATGCAACTTGCACAGCCGGCCTTTACCCATGTCCTTCACCCAACCATCTCGTCCCAACCCCCGAAAGTTGCTTCGCGCGGAAAGTCGCGCGGTTACAGAAAACAGTTTGTCAGATATGTGACGCTTAGGGGGTTCCAATCTTAAGCAACCTCCTGCTTGCTCACTTACCATACGTCGATCCCTGGAAGATGCCGACGATCGACGTGGAGCGTACACGTGCCACTTACCGTGAGATAAGAGAGTGGATGTCATCCAACGTGGCATTCGTGAGTTTGCACTTAAAGGTTACCAGGGAAAGGCAATCCAATGAAGGACGGAGGAGGTGGTGGATGGATCTGGGGAAGGGGAGGCATGAAACGATGGAGCTCCCGATCTCCAGTGGGGAGCAGGATGTAGTAGACAGAGCGATGGACACGAGGGAAGTGCGGGTGTTGCCGTTGATGAGGGCGAGAGGCAAGGTAGTCGGGATAGAGAGTGCAAAGGGTGCGGCGGATGGCGGTGCGGGAGTCGTCATATTCCTTGCACGCAGGGATTTTGCCCGCGATGATGCAATCAACTTCTATATAATTATATTCCTGCCAATCCATGCTATATCGAAGGATGTGGAGGGGGAAAGAAGTGACGAGTGAGCGAGTAGTAGCATGCGGGAAGACGGTGACCAGAAAACGGGTGGCGTAGAGTTGGTGGAAGAGGGAGGGCGAGAAGGGATGCCACCTATCAGGGACCGGGGCCCGGGGTCGGCCGATGAGCTGCTGGAGGGTGAGAAAATCATGGGGACGGCCGGATAATGACCGGGGACGAAGCCCGAGCGCCCGCATCTCGACGTAGGCAAAGGGCGGCCAGCGATGGTGGAGAGGATTCAGACGGCGATTCACTTCTTCGACGGCGTCGGCTTCTCGATCCCTTTGCGGTGGCGCCTCCATCTCTCTCGATCTCTTTTCTCGGCGGCTCTGGATTAAGCGTCGGATCACCCTGCAGCAATTGCGGCAGCGGCCCCGATTCCGCTATCGGTCGCTTGCCTTCTGCCTTTTCCCGTCTTCTCTCCGCTACCGCTTCCTCCTCCTCCCTACTCATCTCGGCGGGACCGCTTGAGTCACCCGATCTTACCCCTTCCTCTTCTTCCTCGTTCTGTCCCAAGTCGGCCCCTTCCGACACTTCGTCTTCCGACCCGCGATAATCGGAGTCATCCGTCTGGATCTCTGATTCTTCCTCCGACGTCTCCTCTTCTTACGAGTACTGGAGGAGATCGTCCTCCTAGGCTTCTTCCTCGGCTACCTCCTCTGCTGATGCTTCTTCTTCCTCCTCCTCTTCTCCCGCTTCCTCACTTGTTTCTCCTACGGGTACCCGTCGGATGAGAGGGTCCCACGTGGAAAGATCGGTGACGTTGATGACCAGGTAAGCGCCCTTTGAGAGGTAATAGAAATTACCCTCGTCCAGCTCCGTACACATGGACCACAGGAGATGTGGCACCAGGGTACGAGTGAGCGGGGCTGTTCCCGGCTTCTCGTCGCAGCGCGAGAGGATTTCCAATGGCAGATCGTCCAATAGTTGGGTCAAGAACACCAGCAACTCGTCCGAAATAGAGTCCAGGTGGCCGTCGCGCACTTCTCCGAACAGGATCCCCAACAACTCCCCCTCCATGTCCGTTCTCCAAACCTGGACGAGCAGCAACAACACCTCGTTGTCTGCGATCTCGTCCTCCTCACTCTTGTCAGCAGGCTCCGCCCAATGGAAGGCAACTTCGAGGAGGCAAAAATTGAGTGCCACGTAAGCTTGCCACCACTGCGCCCACTTGACCGCGTTAAGAATCGGCACGTCCAGCTGCCTGATTGTAAAGGACAAAGGTGCATCCACAGCGGACTGCCAAAACGTAGGAATATCAGAGGGAAGGCCGAAGGTGGAGAGGCGATCACGGTTTATTGAGGCGGAGCGAAAAGAGGAAGCTCGGGGAGGAGGACCTATGGCGCGGTGGAGAGCCGAAGCTGAAGGTCGACATCGTTGTCCGTCACGATCCAATTGTGCGGCCGAGCCAGCAATCGCACCCACGCAGTCGTGATGTCTGTCGGCCAGCTCCGCAACTGCCGGGAAATCTCGGTGTGCCGCGCCGGATGCAGCGTAGTGATGTCGCCTGTGAAGACGACGATGACGGACATGTGGCTCTCACCATGTGGAGACAGGCGCACGAAGGCCGACACCTCGGCCAATACACGTGTTGCCCCGGCCTGCGTGAATCGGAACTCCGCCGCCGCGTGGATGACCGTTGTACTGAAGAAGGCCACAAACCGGAGTAGATTCGGACTCAATCAAGGTCGCTGCACCTGCCGAATCGATGATATGCAACCCCTGGGTCTCGTCAGACGCTCGCTGATGACCTGCTCGGTCGAAAAGTTCATGGCGATGAGGCGAAGGAAGAGACGAAGGCTGGGAGGAGAAGGAGGATTCGAGATCGTCGTCGTCTTCTTCACGATCGAGGGACGACGTAGATGATGGAGGAGAAGAACAACAGGGAAGAGGACGAAGGTAGGACACATGTCGAATGATCGGACGAGCCGCTCGACTACCCGACACCTCCGGCGCAAGCCAAACCGTGTTCACCCCGCTTGGATCGAGCTCGACTACGTGAAATCGCCCGAAGAATTGTGGAGCTAGCTTACCCTGGCGAGCACATTTCCTCACCTGCACTATGTCCCCTAATTTATAATGGGGCCGGGGCCCAGCATTCCCATTTCGGGCCTCGTAGCTCCATACCTGTCGTCCGTGGGCCATTTCAGTCATTCGCTGTCTTTTCCGGGCTAATCAGGGGAGGGCTTTTTCCATCAATTCCAGGTGGCGTTGGGCCTTATCCTTAACCGTCGCTCTAGTGGCCCGCCGCGAAAGGGTCGCTTCGTCATCTAGGCTCAGTAGGGCTACACAGGCTACGTTATTGGTCCGTAATTGAAAGGGGGTCAGACCGGTAGACTCATTGGGTGTCCCTCGATGAATGGCCAGGATGTGATCTACGCTATGTATCACCCGCGGTTGTGATCGCGGGCCATTTTACTGCCCGTGGTCGGGATCCCGCCCGCGGCCGAGTGCGGACATGAGAACCCGACAATTGTTTCGTGGCCTAAAAATTGGCAAAAAACATTAAAAAAAATATGGGCGTGTAGATAAAAAAAAAAACGCTCTACACGCCTATGATTTTTAATATTTTTTTGTGACATCTACTGGAAGGAAACAAAATAAAAAATGGAAATGGAAATTAAAAACAATTAAAGAAAAATAAAACCGTTGATGATTTTTTTTTTCTTCATAATTTTGGTTTGTTGGGCCGGTGGCAAAACACTCGCCCACCATGTTTTTGTGGTCGTTTGCGTGAATAGATAGATAGATAGATAGATAGATAGATAGATAGATAGATAGAGATAGAGATAGAGATAGATAGAGAGAGAGAGAGAGAGAGAGAGAGAGAGAG